TTCATATTTTTATTAATAAAAGTGGAAATGTGGAAGTTTGAGACTGAGAAGTAAGAAAAACCCTACAACAGGAAAGAATTCACTCTGTTTTCCTCTCTCTTATTTAGGAGAAAAGGCTGGGAAAATTCTCATTAATTYATATTTTTATTAATAAAAGTGSAAATGTGGAAGTTTGAGACTGAGAAGTAAGAAAAAGCATGCAACAGGAAAGAATTCACTCTTTTCCTCTCTCTTGTTCAGAAGAAAAGTCTGGGAAAGATCTCATTAATTCATATTTTTATTAATAAAAGTGCAAATGTGGAAGTTTGAGACATAGAAGAAAAATCACGGTTTATAGGATAAAGAGTGGCTGTGTTGGGAAATCTGGGATTTATCTCCAATCTCTTTTTTTTTTTTTTTTTTTTGCAGCACATGATGAAAATCAGCTACGACGTGGTCAAAAGGTGGATTAATGAGGCTCAGGAAGCAGCTTCCAGTGACAACATCATGGTACAGGTGTGTTTGAGGGCTGACTATCCCTAAAAACACTGGGGAGTTTAGAGTATTCAGGGAGTTCTTAAAAAAACTTCAGAAAAAAAATCTTGTTTTCCTTTAGTCTTTTAAAAGCAAGAATTGTGATTTGTGTGAAAAAAATATTGAATTTTTGCATGATACCAGCACAAGATTGTTTATTAAGGGTCAAAAATAAATCAGAATATTTGCCATATACAACAGGACCACAAGATTAACCCAAAAATCAGCAAGATCCCCACATTTTTTGCACAGATATTCCAAACGTCTATGAAAATGAAATTATTTTCAGACTCATGATTATAAAGATTCTGTAAAATCAGCTTTGTTCTTGCCCTCTAAGCAGCTTCATTAAGCTTTACAGAAAATCAGTTTTATGAGAAAAAAAAATCCAAAATAACTTGGTAAGGAACTAGAAATGATTCCTTTGTGCTTCCATCAAAAATTCCTCAAGGATTTTTGTGAGAGCTGTCATTTCAGAACCTTGGGGTAACCTGGATGTGGAGTTTATTAAAAAGAAATATAATAATAAAAATAAATATAATAATAAAAATTAATATAATAATAAAAAATAAATATAATAATAAAAATAAATATAATAATAAAAATAAATAAAAAATAAAGTGCAGGTGTTACCTTACACTGTAATCCAGTAAACTGAAACCATCACAGTGATGGTATTTAATGGGGAAAAAAAAGGAACTAAATTAACTTGTGACTCTTTAGATCTTGAGGAATAGTTGAGAGCAAACAGAAAGTGGAAGGAAACATTGCAGATCTTTGCAATTTGTCAGGAAACTCAGCTCAGTTGAGGTTTGAAGGTGTTTCTACCAGGAAACAGCAATTTTTACCCTTTTTTGATGTTTTAATGTGAATTTTCCAGCCTGAACCTCTGTTTCCCATTTTGTAGTATCACGCTCTGGGGCTGCTCTATCACCTGAGGAAAAACGACCGCCTGGCTGTTTCCAAAATGCTGAATAAATTCACCAAATCTGGCCTGAAATCCCAATTTGCTTACTGCATGTTGATCAGGATTGCAAGCAAACTCCTTAAAGAATCTGAGGAGGGGTAAGTGAGAGGCAGAATTTAAATCATAAATGTTAATTAAGAGTTTAAAAACAGCATTTGTGTGGTGGAAATCTTCACAAAACCAGAACTGCGATAATGCTTGAGCTCGACTTTAAAGGGTTTTTCCAACTTAAAAAAATCCTGGAATTTTTATGTTTGCAGCCATGAAAGTCCTCTGTTTGACTTCATTGAGAGCTGCCTGAGGAACAAACACGAGATGGTGATTTATGAAGCTGCCTCTGCCATCATCCACCTRCCAAACTGCACTGCCAGGGAGCTGGCACCGGCTGTGTCAGGTTGGTCACAGTCCTTGGTACCCCTGAAAACAGCTGGGACAAAGGGAAATCAAGACATTTTAACACCCAAAACCTGAATTTTCTGGTTGTATCCAAGTTTAAGGACTTTGGGATGAGATTCTTTTTCTCTGTTTCATTCAGAAATTTTGATAAATGGCAGCAGAAGTGGCACAGAGTGATGCTTTTCTTTATCCAGTTGTAGGAAATTGAGTTGGAAGGAAATAATGGAATGGTTTGGGTTGGAAAGGACCTTAAAAATCATCCATTCCCACCCCATTCCATGGCAGGGACACCTTCCCCTATCCCAGGATGCTCCAAACTTTGTCCAACCTGGCCTTGGACATTTTCCAGCTGCTCTGGGAAATCTCT